ATATCTCTGCTACTCTTGAATGAACGTCGTTGTTCATTCGCAACTTGCTTAAATTTGTTGATGCATTTTGCAGACTGCACGATAGACGCGTATGTCTTCAATATTTACAAGATGCTCATGCGAAAAAATCACACCGTCAGTACTGCCACTGACAGGTATCCATCACCGGGCGAATCTCTTGTCAACTCCAGAGCTTCTCCAAGACATTTCCCTCCTTCCCACGTGACTTACTTCGACCTTGAATGCGTTCTGTCTGTCCTCTGACAAAGTGTCAAGCCCCGTCATAGCCAGTCATAGCGCTACAGCCTACTGCGACATCGTCATTAGCTCGGGACGGCTTAGTCGCTGCGTCTGGCATCTACGCTTTCGCTCAACAGAAAACGGACGAGAGAGAACGAGAGAGAGAGAGAGAGAAGAGAGAGAGAGAGAGAGAGAGAGAAAGAAGAAACAGAGAGAGAGAGAGAGAGAGAAGAGGAAGAGAGAAAGAGAGAAGAGAGAGAGAGAGAGAGAGAGAGAGAGAGAGAGAGAGAGAGAGAGAGAGAGAGAGAGAGAGAGAGAGAACAGAGATAGAGAGAGAGACAGAGAGAGAGAGAGAGAGAGGTCCTGATGCCACCTCGGTTTTTTGAAATCGCTTTCCTAAAAATGGGATTAAGAAAACTAAACGTAAACTCTCCTTTGCTTTCCGAAAAAAGGGGGAAAATTTAAGAAAACTAAACGTGACTCTCCTTATGACACGCGAAGCAGAAGAGAAGTTTAACAGCGCGACGGCGTGTTGGCTTTGTGAAAAAAAAATTACGGACCACGAGACAGAGTGCGAGATCACCGCCACGACGTCTCTCTCTCTCTCTCTCTCTCTCTCTCTCTCTCTCTCTCTCTCTCTCTCTCTCTCTCTCTCTCTCTCTCTCTCTCTCTCTCGTCTCTCTCTCTCTCACTCAGCTACGGTACTTACGAAGGCGCTCTCTCTGCAACACGTGCAAGCTGGCTCTGCGGGATCAGGCGTTCCGTTTGGCTGTCATGCGTTCCGTTTGGCTGTCATGCGTTCCGTTTGGCTGTCATGCGTTCCGTTTGGCTGTCATGCGTTCCGTTTGGCTGTTCCGGCGCATGACTATGACACGGGAATCTTATTAAAGAGGAAGACTCATCCGACAATATCTCGATTCTCACGAAGGCGTCCACTTCTTAATCTAATAAATATGCTCATTGGTAACTTGTCTTTTATGGATTTTAATTTGATAATTGTGCACAATGGTAACTTGTCTTTTATGGATTTTGATTTAATAATTGTGCACAATGGTAACTTGTCTTTTATGGATTTTGATTTAATAATTGTGCACAATGGTAACTTGTCTTTTATGGATTTTGATTTAATTGTGTGCACAAATGGTAACTTGTCTTTTATGGATTTTGATTTAATAATTGTGCACAATGGTAACTTGTCTTTTATGGATTTTAATTTAATATTATGCACACATGGTAACTTGTGATTTATTTAATTGTGCACAAAGGTAACGTCTTTTATGGATATTAATTTAAATAATTGTGCACAATGGTAACTTGTCTTTTAT